TGGCAAGAAACACGTTCATAAAATTGAAGAAATTACTTTGCAACCGTAACCTTAATCTAGAGATTCGCACAAGAATGCTACGTTGTTACGTCTTCTCTACTTTACTATATGGCATGGAAGCGTGGACAATAAAGCAGTCTGAAATCAAAAAATTAAACTCCTTTGAGATGTGGTGCTACAGGAGAATGCATAAAATATCGTGGATTGAAAAAGTAACTAATATAGAGGTGTTACAAAGAATGAATAAAGAATGTGAAGTCATAAAAACTGTTAAAATTAGAAAGATTCAATATCTGGGACATTTAATGAGGGGTGAGAAGTACGTATTACTGAGGTTGATTATGCAAGGGAAGATACAAGGGAAGAGAAACCCTGGACGACGCAAAATGTCCTGGCTAAGAAATTTGAGAGAGTGGTTCGGCTGCAGCTCATTAGAATTATTTAGAAATGCGGCCAACAAAGTTAAAATAGCGATGATGATTTCCAACCTCCGCTAGGAGAAGGAACCCGAAGAAGAAGCCATATCCTGCCCTGAATCCTGCCTGTTCTTTGGGCTGATAGAAATCAAGTTTAGGTGTTAGCTTTTTTGTTAAGATTTTCATAAAGAGTTTGTACATATGTGTCAAGAGGCTGATGGGTCTCTAATATTCTAATTCAGTAATATCGCCTTTTTTGTGTAACAAGACTATTACTCCATTGTTCCAGTCTTTTGGAATCGTACCCGCATGTAAGCATTTAGTAAACAGTTCGCTTACTGATTTTAATAAAATTTCTCCACCTGCTTTTATTGCTTTATTTCCTTTAAAGCTGCTCTTACTTCTGACACAGTAATGGGTAAAAGTATTTCCGATCCCTGATTTATGAGAGTCTTTACTCGTATCTGGAAATTGTCTTGTGGTCTTTGGCTGGTATAGAGGTCTTTATAAAATTCTCTAGTTTAATATATACTACTGTGGAAAAACAAGCGGAATGTTTTTTTGATCTTACGTTCTTTCGGCAGTAAAAAAGGCACGTAGTATAAAAATTTATTTTCAAATAAATTCATACACGCGTAAAGAACGAAAGAACGGACCGGACAGTCTTCATTATCATCATAGCTCTACATATGTTCGAGGATCTTGGCCTGCTTCATTACAATTTCAGTATAAAAATTTATTTTCAAACAATAATATACCTGCATAAAGAATGAAAGAACGACTCTGACAGTTATCATAATCATCATGACTCTACATACCTTCGAGAATATTTGCCTGTTTTAGGGCATTCTTTCATTATATGTCCGTATCAAATTATATTCTTCTTCATCCTCTAATGTAAGCTATTTTAAGTTCCTTTTCCACATTATCGAGATGTTTTAGCTTCCTATAGTTCTGTTGCCTACTACCTTTTGAACATAGATATTCGGGTGGGGTTTTAAAGTTCATCCTTAACATATGCATACATTCTTAGCATACTCAACCCATCTTATGAGGCTTGCCTTGACTACTTTTACTATATAAGTGGATCGTTATAGGGTATGTACAGTCCAAAGCTATAAATATCATTGACGCCATATACCATTTTTAAGTATCAATTTGTGCTCAAAACATTTGTTCATTGACAAAAATATTAAATAAATTCTCAAGAGAGTTTCCTGATCTAATATCCAGTTTTGGTTTGTCAAAGTTTTTATTAGATTTATTTTTGTTAAAACTGTTTGTTTTATATGTTTCTACCAAGTAAGTTGCTAATCAAACCACTAGATACATATGAACTTTTAAACTATTAAAGCATTCCTTATGTTTTCGTTACTGAAAATTTAAAGTGATAAAACACTAATTAGATCCAAATTAGATTATGTATCAATTGCATTGGCACTTGCTTTAAAAACATTACTTAAAAAACTTGACAGCATACACAACGCAGGTATTAGAATTGCACTTGGAGCTTTCCGGATAACTCCCTCCAAGAGTATAGTGAGCGAAGCCGCTGAGCCACCTCTAAACTACCGAAGAATATACTTAGCTCTAGCACATGCCACATCTATAGCCTCAAATATAAACACAACCCTCTTCTGTTATACTTGTAATATCAAATCGAATCAAGTTCCGTGTACTCAAACAATACTACGAGACAATCCGATTATACAGTTCTAATCTGAACATACATTTTCAAATACAATTTTAAACTTTATTTTTAATCACTATCTTACTTGGACTATCGAACACTACAAAGTCATTACAGCGTTAAGTATAAATAATAAACATGAAACTAGTTTTATTGTTTTTAAAATCCATCTAAATTTAATTCTAGATCAACAATGCAATGACTGGATTAAACTTTATACGGATGCACCCAAAGGTAAACTTGGCGTTGGAGCAGCACTGGTATCCGCAATTTAAACATCCTCTAAGTTCCTTTAAAATTAATTGGTTTATTTAAAGACTAATGTATTTTAATATTTAGATGTTTTATAACATCTCTTGTTGTCTAGTTCTTTTCGACTTTCTCAGCGCAGTCAAAGTTATGCAAAATGTATACTCTAAACACCACATTAAAAAAATGATCACAGCCGAACTAATGGAAGCTCAGGAAAATTTTAGAAGAATCCACTTTCTGTGGATACCGTCTCATCTAGGTATAGAAGAAAGTGAACAGTTATGCATCAGAAACAGATTGTCGGAGTGTGACTAGCGTAATATACGTGATCGCGCATTATCTGGCAGTCCAAAAACTGCAACTAATGAAGATAAGACTGTAAATATCCTTCTAGATGTTCAAAAAAATCCTAGAACGTTTACGTATGAACTATCTGGAAATAAAAATATTAGCAAGAAGACAGTACAAAAAATTTTACATAACAATAAGTTCCACTCTTATAAAATTCAATAGCACCAAGAATTTTGATCGAAGATTCAAATTTTTTGAAACCGTTTTAGAAAAAATCGATGGATAATACAATTTTTAAGATTCTCTTGTATTTTTTATTAAGCGACATTCTACTTGTACCGTACTGCCAACAAAATTGCCCAGACTGGTCAGATTCAAATCCACACTGGATGAATGAGACTCAAACACAATATTAACAAAAGTTAATGTGTGGACTGGGTTAGTAAAAAACCATTTGACGCGTCCACTATATATTGATGGCGCACTTATCGCTGTAAAATACCTTAATATTCTCCAACATCAAGTTATTCCTGAAATAATTTATTTATAATCGTTTTCATCGTTCTTGGCGTGTGCGTGTAAAAACACTTGCAATAAGTTGTTTCATCTGTCTTTCCTTGTCCTAAGCTCGATTCGTTTACCTCCTCCAGTGGCAGAGCAAAATGTAGCAGGTCAAACGAAATAATAGTTATAAAAGAAAATTATAAATTATTTTTCATTAAATTTCTAATAACGGAATATACGTATAAATTGCGAAGAAGTATTTTTCTAGCTTGCAGTAAAATAGGACAGGATAGAACGAAAAGTACATTTTAAAAGAATTTTGAAATATACCCAAAAAAGTGTTAATTATTTAACCCACTTTAATTAAAAAATGATACAGATTTTTTAAGTTATAAGCACTGTAGCGAATTCTGAACTGTTACAACGTACTGACCTTGATTAAATAGCTAATCAGTCAGCGTCTTCACTGGAACTGTCTTCATCATTGGAATCTTCCGCCAAATCGATGATAATCCTACCTTCATTTTCATCATATGTAACCATTTTTGCCCAGTCGTCCTGAATTAATTTTTCAGTATGGTTAACACAACTCTCCCACACAAATTCCAACAATGACTGACTAAAATCGACTAAAACAACATAAAATATCAATGGTAATTGCTACAATTAAAAACCTATTAGACAGCTCATTTAAGAACAATGCCACAAGTCATTATTGCAATGGGTATCGGAAGAGAGAGAGAGAGAGGGAGTTAATTTTTAATAAACTGGAGTTTTTAAGGTTTCGAGAGTATTATTTTATGTAATGGAATTCCACACAGTAAGAGCTTAAACTATTAATTAATTAAAAGCTGTTTACTTATAAAAACTATTTCATTAGCTACTTGAAACCTGCAGAGATCAGGGTAACATGTTAAAAAAAACACGTCACTGCCAGCTATCTGTATTCCTAAAGAGACCGAACTTATCACCGAAACCGTATCGGGCAAACGCATCGGTGTTATTGCTACAATACTGGGAGACGTGAGTGGTCTCTTCATTCCTCATTCATTCTCATCGCACTTCACCATGACGAACGTGACTCGCACAATTGAATTACGCATCTGTGTACAGAGAGAAACGAATATTAAAAATTGCGTAGTAGCTTATTTCTGGCACACGCCAAGAACGATGAAAACGAGTATATTTCCAAATACAACGTGAAGTTTCAACAGGATGGAGTACCTGCTCAATACCATAAACTTGTTAAACAATATTGGAATACCTTTTTCCAAGGAGTCGAAGATTTGCAACTAATTGGCCAGCAAGATCTTCCGACTTGACTTCACTTATTTTGTTTTATCTTAAAGACCGGGTCTATGTAAACAAAGCAACTTATTTAAATAATTTAAAGCATCGCATAGGTTTTAAAATGCAGGCAGTTTCTTCAGAAATGATTATTGATTCTATTCGAAACTTGAAACAAGATAGATTGTATAATTGCAAAGAAAGGCAGCCAACACTTTGAGCACTTTTTTTTAATTGTTACTTTACAAAATTAATATAAATTGTTTAACAAATACATATTTTATATCTTTAGAAATTTTTCGTTCATTATATTAAATTTGTGCTGTACTACATTAGGAATATGGTACTTTTTGCTATTACTGAAAAGGAGAAAAAATAAACTTTCTACATATTACCAGCTTGCCATTTAAATAAAATTAGGATGGCGGCGATACGCTAAGCGCTGACATCATACAAATTTGAAATACTCTCTAGAAAAAGCAGAATATATTTATTGGTTTCAAAGTAATAACCGTGTTTCCATACTTTTTGTTATTATAAAGATGAATTATCTCTTTCAGGTTTGCACCAACCAAAATAAGTGCTACTGTGATTCCGGTTGGACCGGCACTGATTGCTCAATTCAAGCAGAAATGACTGAAACACCGCATGCTACAACCACTCCAGACCTACAACCTACAAATCTTCAAGACCAAATGCAAAAGAAAGAGACCCCCTACGGTACGTCATAGTTAATTTCTTTTTTTATTTTAATTTTTTCAGCAGCATATGTTTAAAATAGTTTTGACAATAAAGAAACTAAAGTATTCATATTATATCCTTAAAGAGAAGATTATTGTACGTGTCACGATTTTTAATCATTTGTAAAATGACAATTAATAATTGTAATTTCTATTATCTAATTTTTTCAATAATAATATTAATAGATTGGCTTATTTTTATAATTTTAGTCATGATATTTTCTTATATCTTACATCAATACAACCTTTGAGTATTTAGTAAATAGATAGCGAGGTACATATTGTTTGATTTGGATGCCCAATATTTGTATATGATTAATACAGGTGAAAAATACCTCGATGAACGTTGAATATGTTGTTTTGTTATACAAAACAACGATTTAAAAATACACAAGCAAAGAAAACTTTTTCAAATGTTTTTTATGTAAATTCGTCATATACTGCAATAACCAAACTTTTAGTTTCATGTTAACTTTAGTTTTGTTGTCAAACCATTTTTAAATATAACATTTACTAATTTAAAATAACTGAAAGAAAATATTTTAACGTAAGACAATGTGCCTGTAATTTTCCTATTTAATCATACTGCCAATATTAGTAAGGTAACTAGAATTAAATCACAAGGAACTTAGTTTACTTTCAACCTAACCAATGATAGTTTTTTTTAACTGTATTTTGGAAATGCTATTGATTTAAAAGTCGAAACTTCAACATTGTATAATTTTATAGAACATCAAAAGCATTATGCATTATGATTTCAGCCTCTAAAAAAATACATGATATTTTGAAATACATTTCTTAAATACGTTACATAACGTAAGAGAACGACATAAAGGGAACACAAATGAAGGGATGTCTAAGTGATAAAATAGGGCAAAAACATTAGAATTGCAAACAAATCAATAATCTATAAGGAATTGTACAAACTAGATCTGAAACACTAATACCAAAAGAATATTTTAAATATTACAAATAAAGGTACATTGTAAAAAATCTGGAGACATTTCTAGATAGAGAAAAAAGTTAATGTATGAAACAGATATGTTAAGTTACGTTTATTATAATGATAATCTGGATTGTATTAACCCTTTTACTCCGGGTTGTAGGTACACGTGGACATTATCTTTTTATAAATTTGTGATCTATTTTACCATTAAATAAAGTTGTTCACACCCTTACACATATTTCATCTGGCATTAATGGTTTTTTATTGGCATCTTTAAATCAATTCAAATATAAAACATGTTTTATAAAAATATGTTTTTAATGTTAGTCTAGGCAAAATTTACCAATGATAGTTGTGAATGTTTTATTAACTCTTACAAACATGTTGAAGCGTCTTTATTATTTGTAAAAACTCACTTATTTGTTAAATGTGTTAAATCTATTCTTTGCAAAAGTATGATTTTTTTCTTATTACCTCATGCTAATGACTTACATGAACTAATTATTGGAACAAATAGAGAAACAAGGCTAACAAATTGGAGCTTTACGAAATGTGCGTGTGCCACACTTTCTTGACCATTTTGCAGAAATAGTCTATGTTGTGAGACCGCTCTCGTAGAAAAAATATGTTTCTAATTCGGTTTCTTTACGAATTCTTATTTAGAAATGTCCCCTTTAAACAATTTGAAGGATGCGAGGCGAAAGTTTTGGACAGAAACTATTTTTTTAAAACAAATTCCAAAAATCATATTCTTGTGCTCTGAAAAGGGGTTTTTTGGGTTTTTATGTTATTCCAAATAAAACAGATCTTGCGTCATTCTTCTATAAAGTTGAAAGTTTTCGAGTTATAAGCGATTTAAAACCTGAAAATGCGAAAATACGCATTTTTCAGGCTGAAAACTCATATGTTAGTACGAGTGTAAGTTTCCAAGTGCCTAAATTAAAGTTTAAATATTTATTTTGAATATTCTGAAGAACAATCGGAGCCTATTTCACCGCAGTATATGGTCGTTTTGTTTCTGCTCTATTTCGCTCTGTCGCACTTATACATAATATTATACGTACTTACGCAACAAATGCCCAACAAATATTGACGTTTATTAAAATTTTTCAAAAATAGTACCCAATAAATTAAAAAAAAATAAATTACAAAATTTTAATAAATGTCAATATTTATTGAGATTTTTTTACGTAAGTAGGTACGTATATGTAAAAAAACATACGGCGCGCGGTAAAAATTTAAAAACAAGTCTAAATTAAAATTAGGTCCGATTGCTCTTTAGAATCTTAAAACTGAATCTTTCTCCTTTAATTTAGACAATTAAAAACCTAAAATAAGAAGTTTTTACTTCAAAAATATTTTCCGTAGCAAAAAAGGTGATTTTTGGAGTTGTTTTGAAAAAATTGTTTAAACAATTTCTGTCCAACAAATTTACCCGGCACTATTCAGATTTGTGTAAGGAAGATAGTTTGGAATAATAATCCGTAAAGAAACTGAATCAGAAACATTTTTTCTACGGGAGGAGTCTTTCAACATAGACTAAATTGACTATACTAACTATAATATTTAAAACCCAAGCCGTAAAACAAGGTCATATATAAAATAAGCTACATGGCGTAATATACGTAAAACTACCAGACAAACAATTGGGACTACAAAAAAATTACCTCATCACAAGAAGGGCCATTGACCTATTTTTAAGAAGATCCAAATTTATGAGTTGTAAATGCAACTTTTAACTTTTATTTTAATTTAAATTTTAATTAAAATTAGTTTTTATATACACCCAAAAAAATCAGAAGTGAAAGGACCAATTTTGAAGAAGCCCTAAAAGATATTGATGAAGGCATCTTAATAAATGGAGTCAAGCTCAATAACCTGCGGTATGCAGATGATACAATAGTGTTTTCCAATACCATAGAAGGGCTGCAAAACTTAATGAAGAGAATAACGAAAACAAGTAGAACATATGGAATGGATATAAACACCAGCAAAACCAAGCTTATGCTCATCAGCAAGCAAAAGATAACTGGAGCAAATCTGTGTGTAAACCAAATGAGAACTGAACGTGTCTCACAATACAATTACTTAGGAACTATAATCAATGAGTCGTTGGACAATGCCCAAAAGATTAAATGTCGCATCGAAAAGGCCCAAAGTGCATTCTTGACTATGAGCTCTGTGTTCAAAAGCCATGACCTCACCCTAAAAACAAAATAAGGCTCCTTAAATGTTACGTGTACTCAGTGCTTCTGTATGGAGTAGAAACGTGGACATTGAAGGCGGAAACTGTATCAAAACTTCAGGCTTTTGAATTATGGTTATATAGAAGAATCCTGAAGATACCATGGACAGACAAAGTCACCAATGACGAAGTACTGCGGAGGATGAACACAACCGCAGATTTGGTCAACATTGTGAAGAGCTGTAAGCTGGAGTACTTGGGACATATAACGAGAAATCAAGGCAGATACGAGCTAATCCAATGCATTTTGCAGGGTAAAATTGAAGAAAAAAGAGCCCCAGGACGAAGAAGAATATCCTGGCTTGCTAACCTGAGAGCATGGTATAGAAAGACCTCAACACAGCTATTTCGTATAGCAACCAATAAAATCATTATAGCCAGAATGACTGCCAACGTTCGGAACGGACAGGCACCCTAAGAAGAAGAAATGACCAATATAAGAAACGTGGAATGCGCCCATTAAGAGAATAAAGAAACGAAAAGTGGTACAAATTTCTCTATACGAATCACCACTAAAATATTGAAGCGTAGACCGTTTTTTCTTTTTGATCTCTAACATCAATAAAGATGTTTTTGCAACTAGTTTGGCATATTTTTGGGCAACACTCAAAACTAGAAAGCGAGAACGAGAATTATAAATTAATAGTGAGTCCAAATTAAACATCCATATGTCCAACTAGGATTTGTGTTAACGCTTACACGAATAAGTTCAGAATTAATGTCCGAAAAGGTAAAAAGAAATAAGAATAAGACTTACTCGCAATCAATTTATTTCACAACAAACGACTGGTTTGGCATAATATAATTTGCTATGCATCTTCAGGCCACCGGTACATGGTAAACTAAATGCTGAAATTATAAAAACCCGTATTGGGGTATGTCTAGTACAGAATATACAGGAATTATGCTAATAATATATGTGTGTGAATATTAAATATGACTTTAAAAATTGATTTAATACACAAACCAAATCTTTAGTGAAAAAGCAATTTAGCCAAGGATAAATCAAGCAAGGTAAATTTAAAAAAATATAAAAACATTTTTCTACAATCAACATTCGCTTTTATAATCTACCTTGAATTTTCCATATTATCTTGATATTTGTACAAATTGTATAAATATCTAATCTAAATTAGAGGCTTCTGAAAAATGAACTTGTTTTCGACTGCTAAAAAAGGCATTAAAATTTTTGGAACCAAAAAAGCAAAATATCATAAAATTTACTTTTCTATTTCTTTTTATATTCTTAACAAAATAAGTCTTATATTAAAAACATACTTTCGAAAACATTCTTTCAGTTATTTTGTATTTAGTAGTATATAAAATTAGTACGTACACAGAGCAGCAGTATCAAAATCACTGCAACTAATACCTCAAGGAAGCTAAAAACGGTAAATAACTTCAGAAAAAGTTAATATTTTTATCATTGGGACTTCGGTTTTTAAATGTTTAGTGGTTGTTATTATGCGATATTAAAAACATATTTTTCCTTTAAGATTAATTAAATTTAATGTATATTGACTCATTTGTTTATCAAAGGTGCATAATAAATTTTATGTTAAACACATCCTATTTTAATTAATATATATTGCTATGGACAGTAGTTTATTAACCTATTATCAACAGTATTGATATCTTGTTAAGTATTACCAACACATATAAACGCTAACTTTGTAACGAAAATATTTTGCACTTAAACTTCTGAAAATCCTGTAAACATTTCCGGGCCAGAAACTAAGTGAGTCATTTCTGTACTGGAACAAAAGAAGACCATCTCCGTAATCTGGAACGACGATCAAA